CTTGGCTGATGAAATAATGACTTTTTTTCTCACGGGTCAATCAAATGTTTTGTTTCCACACCATCTCTAAGAAGGTGTAAGTCCTTATTTGAATCTTTTCCCCTGATTAAGGCCTTTAAAGAGCTGAACTCACACTACAGATTTTGACTTAGAGCATTCACTAAAACAGCATGTCTATCCAAGCCTCTCTTTTTATCAGAGTTATAGGAATGGAGGATTTCTGAGGCCTCTATCAAAAGTGTTTGGAGTTAGCCTGTGGATTCTAAAGTCATTGGGTCAAAAAAGGTAACAAACAGATGAATACAGACATGCATAGATACTGTGACACAGATTTTTTTCTTCAGGAAACTAGACTAGCAATGTGATGTGCAAGCTTCTTAGTTTACACTGGACAGGTGGTGTGGGTTAACCTAGGTGGCAATTTATTTTGTAACTCCACAACATTCTATACTTATATGTAATCCATGTACAGATGCCCAATTTTTAAAATGCTATTTTATCAGAAAGGCCTGACTATGTCCCTGTATTTTAGGCTTGGAATTTAGGGCAGAGTACAGCCTAGGTATCTCGTGAACCTGGTCTGAGGAAGTTTTTTCTGGTCTGCATTTTCTTTGGTACAGACTTAAAGAATTTGAAGAAAAATCAAGAAAGTGGGAGTCCAGATCAGAAGATACACACCTTATAAGCTGTCTGCGAGACAAATTAAGTGAAAGAGAAGAGATTATCAAGCAGCTGGTGGTAAGATTTCCTTTTATATGTGTATATATATTTCGGAATCTGTTGGAAGGCTCTATTAAGTGTTTCACACATTGCTTCATACTGATACTTTCTTTCTGTTCTGGAATACTTTGACAAATATATGTTTCTGTACCAACTTCTGACAAATACATGTTTCCATACACCTAACTTACTTTCTCCTCAGGAAGGAAGAAAATGTCAGCATTCGCTTTTAGCCAACACTGAATCTTACAGGAATCGATCATTTTCTTTCAACCCTAATACAGGATGCTTGAATCCTTCCATGAAGGTAAGATGGGCACTACAATTAAAATAACAGATTGTGATGTTTTATTGCTAATTGAATTATACAGGTGATCAGGACAATAAAGATCCTATTAATTTTTTATGGTAATGTTATTCAGTAGAATTCTTTCCAGTAAGCCAACCTGCAGTCAGGTGCTGAGTATAACATAAATTCAGGAGAAGTATATATGCACATAGATGAAGGTGTTTAAGCAAATATAAAACACTAGAACTCCAAGATGTCAGTCTTCCACTGGGATAACCACAGACATTGCTTGTAGATTTGGGAGCTGCTTGCAGATTTGGGAGTTGGATGCATCAAGGAAAAATTATGAATTGTGTTTGGGCCACTCAGAATTTGCCCTTTGTCAATCCCGCCCCACTGTATGATACTGTCTATAAACTGTCCTGGGAAGAAGGGAGGTCAAGTCGGTGGAAAGCCCCTAACTGACCACTGCAAAACTACCGGCTTTGATGTGTCTAAAAACTCAAGGTCAACTACACAAGTGGTTTTAACTGGACTACCTAATCCATGGATCCTCACAGCATACCCTGAGAATTTATTTTAAATGCCTATAGAAAAATAGGAGAATCTTCATTTTTGGGTTGTCTTCACAAGGTATCTAGGAATAAGGTATTGTTGAGGTTTTATAGTATAAAGTGTAAAAAAAAAGTGTGTGTAATGAATTCTTTTGTTACAATAAAAAGCAGCAGAAGAAAACGGTTGAGGTGCCCAGTCGTGTTGTCAGTGTTCCGAATTTAGCTTCCTACGCAAAAAGCTTTTTGAGCTGTGACTTGAGATCAAAAAGAAGTGCTCCTCACATAACAAAATCTACAAGCTTAGACCGGAGTCCTGGCTGCCTCAGGGTGAGCTCTCCATCAGCACAGTCCTCAAACAGCAGTGCTGCCACAAGGTATTTGTCCATTCTGTGGTGAACTGTAAGATGATAATGAATTGGTGTTCAGAATCTTGCAGGCATTCAAGCACATCAGACATTGGAAATAAACCATGATGTACAGTTCCATGTTGCACAGTGAACACCATGTGTTCCACTCTCCGCAGATACTGCAGAAGTAGGCTATGATCACTGCCCAGCAGAGATCAGGATTGCAAGCCCTCCTGGTATTAAAAAAGAGAGGGGATGCAAGTATTTAACTAGGAATGTAGTTAATAGTGAACATGGCTGTTTAAAACTTCAGGCATGTATCAGTAGTTCTGTTAAGGATGTGTTTTCCTTCTCGCATTTGTTTCCTCACTTTGCACTTGGTAGATATAGATGGCATATTTTTATTTTAGGAGATATTTGAATGAATCTAAGCTAATCGTTTGGCAAAGGCTTTAGAGAAAAAAACTGATTATCAGATACTTAACTAAAAACTTAGTTTGATGTTTTTTCTCTGAAAAGCTTCATTTTTTCTTCAAGTTTATGAGTTATTATTTAAACAATGTTGACTGTTTTATAAACATGACTGAACTCTCTCTTCAAGAAATAGTTAAAAATTTATGTAGTTAACATTATACAGCTATAATGATAAATATTTTAAAAAGCCTTGCCACTCTACTTCAGGATAAAAACCAACCTTCTCACCTGTCTCCTAGTGGAGATCAGTTATCCTGTAAATTGTGTGCCAGGAAGTTCTTTCCTCGAAGGCAGATGGTGCTGACTGCTGCCAAAGACAGTAACCCAGGACACGGGCTTGGATCCAGTTTGGCAATTCCTACATCTTAAAGATAAAAGTATTCTGTGTCATGCCAGATGACTGCCACGGCAAATTAGATTTCTGTTTTAAAGGGAAGTGTACAGGGGGACTGAGGGTAACTTGGCTGATACTTACGTACTCTTAAAAATAAATCAGTCATAAGTGATGGCGTATTTGCCACTATAAGCTAACTGAATTTAATATAAATGTTAAAAAAGCACCCTGAAAAATCAGGGACTGTGTAATAGGATTGATTATAAAACGGAGTTAATATTCAGATAAATCTTTCAGTTCTAAATAAAACCTTTACCCAACATTTTTAATGCAGAAATTGTATTTCATATTTTTAAGAGTGAATTGCAGCTGCCATTTTCTGATTTTCAAGATTTCTTGAAGCATCCTTTTTTTAATTTTTTGAGATGTCAAGAATTATGTTCAAACATTTCTTCATCGCTGTTTAACTATCCATCACGCTTTCCTCTGTGTTACTACCAGTGCTCTTAGTCCAGTTAGCTGGCTGGCACAGATCCCACTGGAAATTGTAACTGGCACCTTTTGGCCTCATCCAGTTCAAGTGAGCACAGATCCATTCACAGGATCATGAGATTTTCCAGGAAAAAAGTATTAAATAATGATTAGATTGAAAATAAGTAAGTGATGCTAATGCTTATTTGTTTGCACAGGACACATGGCAATGAACCACCACAAACCAAAGATGACCAAAACCAAGACGCCCAGCATCAAGAATGGTTTACTAAATATTTTTCATTTTAGAACTATCTATTTCCATGCTTCTCAGAATTATGAGAAAAGCTGTTCCTGATTTCTTTTAGGGAATGATAAGCCAGTATATGATTTAGGAAAAAAAAAAAACCACCAAAACAGTACTTTCCAAGTAAATAATTGGGAACTGCTCTTACATCTAATTACTATGGAGTTATAGGCATGGATTTCAGAAAAAAAAAAGAGCCTTTTTTTTAACAAACTCTGTAAAAAATGAAGAAAAGGCAAAATTCTGTATACTGTTATGTGAAGATACTTTTTGATCAAGAGACTGTACCACTCCACAACTACAGTAAATAGGCAATTTGGTCTCTGATATGACCCATCAATCTGACTCCAGCTGAAAAAAGATCTTACTTCTGTAGATGATTTCTGTAGGTTTATACATTTGCTTCATCAGCTATTTAAAGTTATTTCTGTATATAGTAATGTAATTTTTAAAGTTCTTAAAAGGTTTTTGTTAAATTTATTTTAAGCTGTACAGCATGCTGTATGCCTCCCAAGAATAGCATGTTTATAGCAGGCTGGTTTAGAAATACTCTCTAGTTTGCTTAATAAACTGTTTTGTATAGTCAGCATTGCAATACAACATTCCCGTTGCACTCCAATACATGTAACAATCAGCCTGATACATCAGGATAATATGCAAATATGAACATTAAAACTTGCTTGTAAATCATCCACTTCCATGTTTTGCAAAACGGTGCTACGTTACAGAATCGCAGAATGTCAGGGATTGGAAGGGACTAGTCCAATCCCCCTGCCGGAGCAGGAACCTAAATGAGATCACACGGGAAGGTGTCCAGGCGGGTCTTGAATGTCTCCAGAGAAGGAGACTCCACAACCTCCCTGGGCAGCCTGTTCCAGTGCTCTGTCACCCTCACCGTAAAGTAGTTTTTTTTCTTAAGTTTAAGCGGAACCTCCTGTGTTCCAGCTTACACCCATTGCTCCTTGTCCTATCATTGGGCATCACTGAGAAGAGCCTGGCTGAAGTGTGAGTCAGACTGGTCCACCGAGTTCCAGATTCACGGGAACTGCATTCTCGTACGTTTTATCTCCCTGTTGCCCCTATGCCCGCCAAACGCAAAGTGCACAACTGACATTTATCAAATCACACCAGCTAGCTCAGTACTGGGGGGAGAGACACCCAGGAAGAAATTAACCCTCAGGTAATTCATCAACACATGTGGAAGCAGCCTAGCATTTAAGGTAGAATAGTTCATGTTTAACTGCTGTACAATTTGAACCCCCATTTAATTTCGACCAGCAGGGCCCAGATACAAAACATATTTTACGTGTGCGAAGAGGTGTACCTCCAGCTCACCTCTGATATCAAACAGCCAGCAAGAGCTGTACCGACAGATGCAAGCACTCAATACAAAGCAGCCACCACACCTCAGCCATGGTGAAAAGGTGACAGAGGGGGCAGAATGCTTCTCCAGGCCAATACTTACATCCCAGCTGTTTAGTACTTTTTCCAAGATGAACTGCTTGGTTTGGAAGGAGCCTTTCACATCAGATTTGGCAAAAAGACACATTTATACGTGCAGTCAAGGGGATAAAACAGGGTACAGTAAGTAACACTGAAGAGTGCCTTGGTATCTGTGAGAAAATCAGAAATATTTAGGGCTAAGTTTTTTGTTAGTTTTCATCCACTCTGCCCCAAAAACTTTTGAAGCACACTAGGAAGTTCAATACACAATTACTAATCCTGATTTCCAGGGTTACAGTATTCCAGTTAATTAACTCTGTCCCCATAACAGTGTCCCTAGGAAGTGGCTTTCCTGGCTAGAAGGATGAATTAAGCTTCTTGCCTAGTAAGAGAGAGGCAGGACTCTTTTGGCATTTCTACCTCTGAAATCTTTTTTTGGCTACATTTAGATTACTAAATAGTGCACCACAGCAGAAGCTAATTCTGTAAACGGGCCAGTGCTGAAGACTCAACATCCACAATGAGTGGTCTTTATTTTGGGGGTAGGTATTTTGGACCATCTCTACACTAGCCTGACAGAAGACCAGTCACACTGGGCCTGCGTTACATACTGCCCCGGCCGTAGGCATTTTGCATTTTCATTTCATCCTGTAAGAGTCACATTTGTGTATCCCGAGACCCCTTCATGAAGTGAGCAAAAGTCCACTGGAGATGGACAATTCACTTCAAAAAAAAGTACACTCTTGATCTGACCTAGATATAGTCAATTTTAAGGGTGCTTCCACAGTGGTACTTATGGATAATTACTGGATCACAAAACAGTTATATCTTCCAGTAAAACCAAACAGTAATCTTTGCAAGTATTTTCATCATATCAGCAAGGATACAGAATCACAGAATGTCAGGGATTGGAAGGGACCTCGAAAGATCATCCAGTCCAAACCCCCTCCTGGAGCGGATGAGATCACACAGGAAGGCATCCAGGTGGGTTTTGAATGTCTCCAGAGAACGAGACTCCACAACCTCCCTGGGCAGCCTGTTCCAGTGCTCTGTCACCCTCACCGTAAAGAAGTTTCTTCTCAAGTTTAAGCGGAACCTCCTGTGATCCAGCTTACACCCACTGCCCCTTGTCCTACCATAAGAGCCTGGCTCCATCCTCCTGACATTCGCCCTTTACATACTTATAAACATTAATAAGGTCTCCCCTCAGTCTCCTCCAAGCTAAAGAGACGCAGCTCCCTCAGCCTTTCCTCATAAGGGAGATGTTCCACTCCCTTAATCATCATACAGGTCAAGGAAAGCTAGGGCCACCCTTTCTAGAAGGAACAGGATGCATTCTGCAAAACACACTTCTACCAGAAAGCATCCCGAATAGCAATTCTGCATATTTTCCACTGAAATATAAAACCAATATAAAACCAATCCATATTTTTTTTTTGGGGGGGGGGGGGGAAGATAATTTATTTTGCTTAATTGTCTTAAATATTTATATTTGTAGTACAAATTTCATTATAGAAAAAGCATACAAAGTAAGAACACAACGACTGCTTTGCACCGTTGAAAATACTCAGATATGTAAAATGAAGATCATGTTTGCTTCATTGGAGCAGGAATATTAGCAGATGCTTGTTCTAGGTAAGCTAATGGCCCTTGCGGTATTTCTGCAGGCTTTTTGTGCTGTACGCTGATATCTTCCAGGACCTGCTGCCAGTGTCGCAGTTTAGCCAAGTGCTTCTGAATTAACGCTTCTTTTCTCTGCAATTCATTTCTTAATTCTGAAACATCCTATGGATTAAAAAATGTGTATTAGTAAATAGAGAGTATTCGTAAGAATAACCACCTCACATAAAAGAACGTGTAATAATTTTTTTAGCTTGAGTTTTTAAGCTGATCTTGCAGGGATTCTAATAGTGGAAAAGTGTCTAATAAAGCAGAGGGAAAGCACTGTGAACGCACTAGTTCCGTTCCCCTGGGTCACGTATTTCAGAGATCATTACATCCAGCAAAATTTGCCTAGTTTGTTTCTTCCAATGAAACTATTATGAAACTGTTCCAGTACTCCACAGAGCAGCAGGCATCCAGCTTCTCCAGGTTCATGGTGCAAGTGATGTTAACAGTCAAGTTCTACCAACTTAAGATACAGCATCATGTAGAGAAATCCAAAATTGATGTGAACAAGGTGAATAACAACTGCTACACAGCTTATCTGATCTAGCACAACAAAGGTAAATTAATTTAAACATACCTCTTTAATTACTTGCTCTGGTTTCTGGACTGACAGCTGCAGCCTTTTTTGTAGAAAAAAGCATTCCGTTTGTCTGGCAACATCCAGAAATTTCTGGATGCACTGATCAACACCTAAACATAAAATAACAAAACAGAAAGTACAGATTCCAAAAAGTAAGTTATCATGCTGATACTGGTAGTTGTCTGCATGCTGCTAAAAACACTTTTCACAGTACCTTCTAAAAGTAAAATCTTCAGATTTACTAAAATAACATATTTATAAAACCAGGATGTGCATTAAGTCTCTGTATAAAATGCTGCTTTGCAAACTTTCAGAACTTCTGAAGGTGCAAGACAACAACTTTTTTTCCCAGGTTTTATTACATTTTTGACAATGAAAGAGAGCGACAAAATAATTTGTGGAACTTGGCTGAATAAAGAAAACATTTCACTGCACACCCAACCAACCAGCTCAATGTAAGGGTCTAAAATATGGGCACGTTTAGGATAATATTCTGCCTTCATATATTATGCACTACTGTTTTGATAATAAAAGCAGCAGCTTTTATTATGTCCCATTGCAGCATATGAATATGACTCGGCATCCAGAAAGGATTTTTCAAAAGCATTTATGCTGTTTTCAAAACAGTGCTTGAGAATCCAGCTTTGAAAACTTCTCTGTACACTTCTAAACAGTACCCAAGGGCCATTTTTTAACTTCCCGTTTATACCGGTGCAGGATTAATCACGCCTCCCACAGAGGTGCCCGTCACACAAGTCTTAAAGCATTGCTACTAAGGAATCGAGGTGGTCCTTTCCCACTTTTTATTACTGCTCCGTATAGCTTCAGGAGCATCACCTGAGCTCTCTAGTTTCTGCACCACTGTTTCACTGCACGTTGACAGACGCCCAGGCAGCCCCGGAGCCGGCTGACACGCAGGCCCCTCCCCGGACCCCGATCATTCCATGCCCGGGGGGTTTCTTTCCGTGTGAGCCCCCGCTGCTGAGAACAGCGTTCCACCCGGGAAGGGCCCAGCAACCCCGAGTTACACCAGAGTCACCGCCCCGAACAGTTCTTTGAATCTCTTTTGGCCCCACACGGCAAGCCACGTCCGCGCCCGGCGAAGCCCAAAAGCACCTGCGACACTTCACAAGCAGCTTCAGG